GTTAATAACTTTATGTATGTATATAAACGAGCTTGTAAAGCATGCCACGAACCCATATCTGGCACCTCGTTTCGCGCGGAAAGTGCACGCGTGAACCACCTCGACACATACACCAGTCATTTACGCTCAACACTCAAAATAGCCGCCATAGTCTCCAAACTTCCCCCTGTTAATAACCCCCCAACCAACAATGAGCGCGAGCTGAAAGCCTCCGAAGGTCACTCAAGAGGGCGACCCCGAAAACACACCAAAATATCAAGGTCATCCAAGGTGGCCCCCTCCGTGCACACAACCACCATACATTTATTTATTCATAAACTTAAGTATAACAATGATGATACTTAAACAGTAATAGCTATAACAATGATGAAACACCAAATTATATTTAATATTTAAATATCATCACCGTTATACAAGGAGACCAATTATATAGAGACCACAAGGGAAATCGATGTAAACGACAAATATGAGAATGGACATTCGGGAATAGAATAATTATCGCTCGTTATCGGCGACGGCGACAGACGCAGATTGCGACCGGCGGTCGAAGCAGGATGGATATCCGCGATCAGGTATCGATTGGAGAGGTGCGAGGGAACGGAGAACGCCACGCACAAAGGAGGACGCTCTTATAGGAAGAACGAAGGATCTCCCTCGGTGGAGGGATCCGCGATCCTCTCGGAGGCTGTTTCGCGAAAAGAATATCCTTTATATACCGCTCTCGCGCGCGCGCGAGAGAGAAAAGAAAGGGAAGCGCGCAATATCGATCGCCATTACGCTCGATCCTGTTCCGTTTGATCGTTCCGGTCTGTCGTTATCTTCTCCTCGAACAAAGCATGACTCGTCTTTTAGGAAAATGACTTGCAGCCCCTTCGTCTCTTTCTCTTTACAATCTCTCTCTCTTTCTCTCTGTCTCTCTCTTTCTCTCTCCTTCCGCGCTGAGAACAACAGCTGCCTGATGATGAACAAAACTCGCTCCCGGTACAAGGAAATATCGAGATCCGTCGAGTAAATGACATGGCCTCGAGCGCGGCGAACAATTTTGCCATGTTTCTGCTACTACGCTGATAATATTTAATGGCCTCTCCTCTCTAACGTTACCCGAATACGTACGAGTCTGTACGATTTGAAACACCCACACCTTCGAATTTCTTCTACCAGATAAAAAGGGTCAGTAGCGCTAAATTCACACGTAATATCATGAAAAAATACTGGGAAATAAATGATATGACTTTTAACAGCCACCTTTTTTTCGTCTCTTTCTTTTTTATTTAATCATTTTGTTTGATTTTTTTATAGAAACGCTTTGTATCCATTTACATACTTTTAGCGCCGCAATTTCCTTCGTTCTTAGTACACGTAATAAAATTAGTTGTAGTAAATTATGTATAATTAGTAATTTGTTATTATTAATTACGTTGTTTATTTTACCGACACGAGGTTCATTCGAACGAATTTTGTTCGTCCAAGCGCAGCTTTTCCTCAGCGTGTCTTTCTCTTTCTTTTACTTTCTCTGGAATCATGCCATGCTGTGAGCATTCTCTTCTTCTACTTTTTATACTTCTTCTTCTATTTATATTGGCTCTCATTCACCGCTACTGCTATTACTATTATTTTATAATCTTACTTACATGCTGCGCTACTTTGCTCCCTGCGATTAATCCGTGTTTGCCGGCAATTCGAGAATCGATTCCATCGTATTGGATTTTTTAGAAACATATCTATTTTGGGCAATTATTTATTCTCTCTTTTATAATTAATTCAATATTTTCCTGTTTCCTATAATTATGATTAATCATAATTATAGAAAAAAGGCAAATACTTAATTAATTATATTTTGCCCAAAACTCGGGGGAATCGATAGCGAGTAATTGAGGGCAAAGCATCGGATGTCACTTTACGATTACGTTGCATAATTATAATTAAACGGAAATTTATATTATAATACGCATAATTTATATAGTAACACGTAAATTATAATATAAATTATGTAAATATAGAATGCAAAATATAAATAACGCTGTACATATTATACACTTTATACATTTATGATACCTTTCTAGTCTAATTTCTAATATAATTATAATTATGCTCTAAATAATCTTTCTATGTTTATAGTTTATATGAACGCTCTCTTTACCGCAATTAAAAGAAAGATATATAATTAGGATTTCTCATTGTGAGAAGATGTTGCGACATTCTTTTTCTTAATTCTTATCATTAGTTGGATACGATCTGTTAGATGCCTGCTGCTAACAGACAAGTAGAAAGCTGCTGTGCTCGCCAGACACCATCTTCCTCCCACCTTCTCTTTCACTAAAAACAACATTAAAAGACGCTCCGTTCCGTTTCGCGGTTTCTTCGCGAGCCAAGCGATCGCGAAAATCGAGAACTAAAAAGCGTTCCGTTCTCCGCGCGGCAGAATCGACAGTAAACTCAACCAAACCTTGCGCGAGTACAAAATCGAAGCGAATTTTTTGCCCGCGAGTATCCGTTCGGCTAGAAAAATCGGACCGACGAATCGACGCTTGATTTACGACGCACAGGCGCGTAGATCGGCTGTAGATCATTCCGGCCCCTCGCTGGTGATCTTGTAGAGCCGACGCGTCCGGGTAGAGCCTCGGTAGAGCGTCGTAAATCAAGTGTCAGCTGCACGCGGAGACAAATGTTGCCGACGGAACGACGCGCGACACGTCGATCGATGATGAATTATTGTACAATTGCTAATTTCGCCGGTGCTTGAACTGCAATTGCCACTAAACCAAGTGGGTCCGAGCTGATTGATATTAAGGTTAATGAACCGCGTGAAATAAGCTTAAATGTATTAAGTACGTGATTTAATTATATCTTATCATTCCAAGGAAACGAAGGAATTAAAACAAAACGGAATATATTCCGTACTATTAATTGTCATTTTTATTATTTAATTTTTTTTATTTAATTAGAATTTGACGCAATTGTTATTTTAATAATCATAAATATATTATTTTATTTTATAATATCGGAATACTAGTCATTTTATTTATAATTATACACACCTAACTTTGAAATTATTTTATCTATCATCATAATGTTGTTAATTTTCATCACGTATTAAACTAGAATTTTAATCATTATTCTAATACCAATAAATATATATACTTATTATTTCATCAATTTAATTATATCTATCATGCCTACACTCTTATTTAATTTAATTAAGCGAGATAGAAATATCTCTCAATTTATCTCTTGAACTTGAATTAAGCTTATTCAATTTCGGTCTATTTTTTAATGCGCAATCACTAATTTATCATTGCGGAAATTATATGATGATATCTACCCGCGAAAATGACGTTTGTCAACGTCGTTGCGAATAAATATTTGCGGACTCGCGCGAGATAACGGCCCGCGGGAATATTTCTTGTATCACTTCACCAGCGCGTCGATGAAATCATCGATCGGCCGATCGCCCCTCGTTCGAGGAAAGAAAATAAGCAGATAAGCACTCTTTTTTACGCGGCAACGCGGAAAAGGCGCACGGGACATGATAGGACATTTGATTTCTCGCAGAGGGGTGCGCCCGGTGGTTGTTGCCGTCCGGGACGACTGGTGGACGTCGAGGGAGACCCTCTGGGAGTGACGGGCCCTCTTCTACCGCGGGATAGCCAGGAGTATAGATCGCCGAGCGAGGACAGCGGTCTCGGGGCCGACATGCCCAGGACCAGGTCGATCGCATGATCTCTCTAACGCTGAATGGATCACGAGCCGCCATTTTGAACGGGCGTAATTTTTTTCACGCGTTAAAGAAAATCGTGAAGTCGATCCCAAGTCGTTAAGAGTCGACGCGCGGTAAGGGGAGACCATTAAAATTACGATTACCTCGTGATTACTTCGGTCGAGACTGAAGAAGATGCGGATAAGATGGTGACACTGATGGCTGGCTCAAAATGGCGACAGTGACCCCTTCAGCGTTGACTTTTACCATTCTCCCTTCGTTACAGCTATTTTTGCGTTAAGACCACTTCCCTTTCGCCGTAGCCGCTTGAGTTTGTTGCGTAGATACACGAAAAGCTAATTAGCGAGGGACACACTTACTGGCGATCATTTTCATCTAAGCAACGAGTTTATGAAGCGCGACTTGTATAAGGGTGTCTGCCAACCGCATTACGTTTCAAACTAGATATCTTGATATGCAAAAAGTCAAATTATCTCTTTACATAAATTAAAATTTCGGGCTTTTAAAAATATATTTGTTTCGATATTTAAAATGTCTGAGATATTTAAAAAATAGAATATTATACATGGAAAGAGCAAATAGCGCGTTCAAGTGTTGAGAAATTGTCAATTAATCCACTTATCGTTAATCAATGTAACTGCGCAATGCGTTAATTAATTTAACAGGAACTCGCAGTTACCCGTTGCAGAACGCGCTGTACAGCGAGCGACAATTTACTTTCGAGGCACGAGAAGGTCACGCGGCATTTCTGCGTGGCGACCGAACGATTGACAAACAGTTAATTATATCCTTTCGCTTCTACGAGCGTCAACACTCGCGAGGGGAATCAGACTCACGGGGCTTCGCGCGAAGATCGCAGGTGAGCTCGAAAAAATCTCCCCGGCTCCTCTCGAGTAGGATCAACGTAAATGGCGTTTCTCTGTAGGGTACGCGCTGGGTACATCGATATTTCATTTACCGCCACGTTGCCCCCGCTCTTCTCTCTCATTCCTCCTCTGGGTCCCCACGGTATCCAGACCCCTCTTTCTTCAGCATCCTCAAACTAGCCGAGTACCCAGGTATGTAAACAGACGGAACTAGATGCGTACAGGGCGCGCTTCGGTAACAGTTCAATGCACCTATATACCTTCACCGCTGCAATACCTGGTCGAGATGTTAATGGCTCTTACCTTCGCCGTTCTAAAGAAATCAGAAGTGACGGCACGTTGTTATTCATCGTTGCATCCATCGATTATTAATTTTTTACGTCGGAATTGAGAAACTATAGTTGTGAATTTTGCAGTAGACGCTGAAGTAGATTATTATAGTTTTTTTCACCAACCCGTGTTTAACCCAGTTCGATCTGTGTATCTTCATCATATTAATGCCGTAAAAATCATTTGAAACGTTCTTCGCTCATAACCATTAAAGATTAATCGCGTTAACGTTTCGTTGAAACTCGATTAGTGACTTTATCACAGTACATATTTCAAAACTTCAGTGAATAATATTTTTATATCGTTATTGCCTCGTTAAGCTCGAAGGGTTTAATAAGTTTGGCACGAGGCAGATTCGTGTTTTTCGTGTTCTCCGAGTTCACTCATAATTATCAAGACTAGACCTATAAAGTACATAGTTCAGTTTTAGACCGTTAATTGCCCGCGTGACATTATCGAGGTAACAAATATTCCGAGCGCACGGGCCGGGAAACTCTGTTATAGCTAACATTTCGAAGACGTCGGCCCATGCGGGCGATGGAATGCTTTGCCGAGCTTTGCCTGAAATCTGTGGGACGATTGCGCGAAGGGCGAATCGCCGCAAAGGTGATCTTTTCCACGTGGCGGCGCGTGGGAGGGAAATCGATAATCGAGGTGGATTTAGTTGGCGGAGCGAGTGCACGACAGTTTTCACTATTCTACATTTCCATTCGCGACACATGCCCCGACACGCCGACAATCGGCGACAAGCCATTTTGATTTCATGGAAATGACTGTTGTGCCAACGAGGCGTGGAAATGTTTCGTTTACACGATTAATTGTTGGAAAACAATTTTATTAATTCGCCCCATTTTTAATACGGATGCAGCTCTGTGGAGTATTAATTAAGAAATTTTAATGCAGATTTTTCCATATTCAACAATTATTACCAGAATATTTATTAGCACTATCGTTGTAAAAAATGCAAGCGGGATTAAAATGATTCCCGAAAAAAAAAATCCTAATTATACTAATAAAATAATGAAGCTTCTATAATAATAAAACTTTGGTTATTCGATTACTCTGTGTGTTATTACTTATTATAGAAGGTTGAATATTTATTAGCGCAATCACGATTAATACAAATTGAATTGAAATTTAGTGGAACGCTGCTCACATCTGTCCGTCCCCATCCATCCATCTGTCCATCAAAGAGCAAATTAAACGTGAAAACGAAATTCGTCAGAACGGTTGAAAAAATTTTAATAAAACCTTTGCCAAAATTAATTGCTATTAATAACGCCAGTGTAGAATATTCATCGATATAAGAAAAAATTAACGTGAAGACAAAACTCGTTAGAACGGTTAAAAACATTTTAATAAAACCTGTTCCAAATTTAATTATTACATTAATAAGTAGCATAGAATATTCCTTAATATAATTATTATTAACACAAAAAATTTTAAAAAATTTATAATAGACATTTTGCTTGAAAATTAATACACGAAGCTATTCTAAAATGATTATTTATATATTTGACGCAAGAAAAACTATTATTACGTTTAAATAATAAAGCCAGCAAAAAGTTCGTAAAAATATCTCAGATTTTCAGGAAATGTCAAGCACTATTTACGTCTACTTGCCTAAAGAAACTCTTTTTCTCGTGAAAATTAACGTGTAATTACAAACTATTATCCAATCTCAAATCACGGGTTTAGAAATACTGGCTACTATAATATGTTTCCTCGTCGACCGTTACCGAACAAATGATAAAAAATTGCTTGAAAGAAAATAAACGCATCTATTGTGATTTTCTGTTACATAGTTACATTGCTGAATTCACGACGACTTTCTCCACGAATGCATCACGCGCACGCAATTCACGTTGAATCGCAAATATGAAAGTAAATTTTGCGGGATCGATAGCGAGCGCGCGAATGTGGCGGTCGGCGAGATACCTATGGAGAGGAATTCAACGCGCTTTATACTTTGATAGCTTTCACATCTAGCGGGAACGAATGGACGGACGGATGGACGGAGCGAAAACGTTCCGCTTTTGATCCTCCCCGGAATGCTCGTGATTTCAATATACCTCCGCGCCTTTGTCCGCCGATCTAATCTCCACCTCGAATTCTATCTTTTGTCGCGCGCGCACGGGACCAGCCGGCATGGCACCGGACTTTCTTTCCGAGACAAAAACCGCCCTCTGATACCGAGAAAGGACTTTACATTTCGCCGCGTCATGTCAAAAGAGACTTGCGCGTTCTCATTTATATATTTTACGTGAAATTTAACGTTAGTATGAAAAAAGATGTAAAAAAATTGTAATTACATGGCAATTTTTCAAAGTAATACTGAAACTTTTAACTGAGTTCAAAACTTATTATTTGTATTTATCTTTATACTTGTAATTGGATATTTACATACATCTCCAGGCTCATTATACATCAGATACAATTTTCATAGATCCGTGATTTATTCGTTTTTGATTTGCTATTTGTTAAAAAGTCTCATTTCTATTTTATTTTCCCTCGACACTAGAATTATTTAAAATTTTATTAATAAAAGTCTTATTCTTATATTGATACATCAAGTAATTTGAATTTTAAACACGTTGAAAGTATCAACATAAATACATGTATAGTTACGCTTGCAAAATTAATTAATTAATGTGTATTCCCACCATATACCATGGTGTGTACAAATAAAGTTATTTTATATTTCTTTGTTTAATTTTTACGTTTCGCATAAAGAATAAACATTTGTAATTTTTTAATAAATCAAGAAAATAAAATTAAATCACCATGAGAAATACAATAATCCACTTTTTCCCTGATTTTTTAAAATCATACGTTTTACGTCTCATTCCTTTCAAACAATTTTATTCCCCATGAGAGTTTAGAACAAAAACAAAAGTAATAAATTAAATTTTCCGTTTCTAGATTACAACAAAAGCACATAAAAAAAAATTATTTATTAAAGCATATTGCATATATGCGTTTATTAAGCCGTGCTATTTAATCGCGCTGATATTATTTTCAAGCTTATCGTGCGGCGCATTCTTAACGCGCGGACTGCCGTAGTTTCTGTAGAAACGATCTCCGCGGCGCAGTTTTAAACGGAGCCGAGGGCAACGACGAGAGCCCTTGAAATTTTCACACCAACGTGCTTTCTTACACACTAGGTCGTATCCCGGGTAACAGAATGAAACAAATGAGCTTTGGCAGTCGCCAGTACCGTAATCGCTTCGGTAACGAAATGTTCGTCGCGAAACCGAGCTCCCGCGAGTCTCTCTTTTTCGCCAACCGACGTGTTTTCGCGCGGTCTCATCCGCAAAAATAAATAAAAACCGCGGACGTATTTCGTCGCTAATCCTAGCTCTAAAAATAAGTGACCTGTTTTATGATTTTACGCTTCCCTCGTGGAAATTAGAGAATTAAATTAATCTCCTGATTAAACGTGCTCGTCTCGCGAATTTGGTTAATGTGCAATTCAACAAATCGCTTCTTGCTTTAGAACGATTGATGCAAATATTAATTAGTTTAGAAAACATTAATTAATTTGTTATATAAGAAAACACGTCATTTTCCTTTTTTTAAATTTTTTTTATTATTTTTTTTTTATCGAGAAAGATTACGCATTCGTAAAACAGGAAACTCAAATGGCGTGAGAGTGAAAATTGGCAGTCTGCGGAGATAATGATGGTGATTAAGAAAAAATTGATTGCGAACAAGGAGAAATTCTTCCTATATATCGATGCCACCTGCGATCTGAAATTACTCGTCTCGAACGTCCGCAGTGTGACGGACGTATATCTATACCGACGATGACGCGATCCAGAAGCGAACTATATTAATCACAGCTATAGAAACTTGCCTGTGTAATCGGTGCCTCGTAACCTTCATGTGTTCCATACTGCTTTCCAACTTTTCCGGGTGAGAATCCGTTTCGTGCCGTTTCTCATCTCGTGCAGCCTGAGCCACCTCGAAAGCGAATAAACGCTCGTCATCCAGCGAGTTATCGAGCGATTCCGATCACCCGATCGGAAACTCTCTCGCTTCTCGAGCCGTCCGATCACGTAGTTCTATTTCCGCCTATGTCCGCATGAATCTGGACGTCTATTTGAATACATTTAAGTATAACTGGATAAATATACAGGGTGCTTCCTAAGTACTATCCAATATTTGAGGAATTTGATTTTTTCTTGTGAACTTTCCTTCATAAAAAAAAAATGACTTCAAAAATCAACTTTAGTTGTGAAAAAATCAAACTCCTAAAATATCAGACAATGCTTAAGAAATATTCCGTATTTTAGTGATACATTTCATTAAGACAGATCACTCAGATCGTAATTCTGTTGCGAATAGTGAATTATATCCGATATTCCGGAAATAGAACTGCGCGATCCCTGAAGCTGCGCTTATTGAATTTTGATGAATTCATTTTACCGAAGTATCGTCTGCTGTAGTATTTGCTTTCATTAGAGATTAGAATGTACTACAAGATAGGTATTAGAGACGAAGGGTAGGTTGGTGTGTGTGATGAAACCATTTTCGGATTACATCTTCTCGAATCAAGGGCGTCAAATCAAAGAGAAGGCGCCTTTCGAAATTAGCTGTCAGCCTTCGGCGCTCGCAATTGTCAAATCGGCTCGCAAAATTCGCAAATCTCGCGAACGTCGTGTACTTCCGCTTGATCACCTCCTCCCCTTTGTTTCTGATCGGGACGATCCTACGTCCGACGACGAATCGTCCCGATGACACCGATAGGGCTAATAAGACGAGGCGCGCGCGCGATTTGATAAGAGCGGTCGCGGTGCGGGGGTGGGTGGTTCTGAAATGGAAATTTTGCCAATTGCAGAGTGGGCTGCAGGAGGGCGCAGCAGCACCAAGTGACGACCTCCGACCTCGCCCTCTCCAATGATGACGAGTGCGACAATCAGGTACTGCGGGAGTATCCTTTTCGAACCGTCGCGCCGCGGTGATCCTTTGCGATGCAGCGAGCCTTTCGATTAGACTCGCTGAAGTCGAAATCAGATAGAGAATTCCACTCTTTAAGGGGATCCTATAGTGGCAGTAGTTACCGACATTTCTTAATTAAAAGAAATCTTTAAATTGGCTTTACAGAATTGCAAAATTCTTGTACAGAAATAATGTACGCACAAAAATCTAGTGCAGGACACACGATTTCATATCAGAAACGAAAAAAATTAAAAATTTGGGCACATACAGCTGTCACCTGACGACAATATTTGCTTAAACAAAAATACTGCTGTTGATATATACAAAATGATACCCAATTGCACTAGGGACAACATGTAGGAACAATATCGTACAAATAGAACTAAGATTCAAAGCCTAGAAAAAAAGATTTTCACTAACGCAGCTTTATTAATGCAAAGGCACATGCAGGTTGATAGGATAAGCAATATTGCGTGTAGCGAGAGATGGTGATGCCTCTTGTTAGACAAGGACAGATATAGATATATAACATAGAAAACAGAATTAGAAATGTTGACATTATCGACATCGAGGCAGCTCGGCCTTCGCTATAGGATCCCCTTAAGTATCCGAAAACGGATGTTCCTATTTTTTAAACATCGGATCCGAAATCGGTTTAAAGAATAGGAATAATTAGGAGACTGTACGTCGCGTGGATTTTTTAGAAAGTAATGTAGCTCACTGATAGCTCAAACTCTCTTCGCAATTTGGTTCAATTTGAATTTTAATTTTCAAACATTCTAGCTTCATCTTAATTTTAACGTTTTTTGTACAAATTATTAAGCATAACAAAAAACCGCTGTTTTTTCTGAGAAAAATTACGACAGGAACACCGTATGGGTGAAAGGGTTCGAAGGGATACACCCAAGAAAGCCGCTAAAGCCGGATATCGCGATTTTTTATCCCCGCTGAAAATTTGTGTCATCGATATCGTCGTAAAAAAAAAAAAAAAAAAAAAATTTGAAATTGAAAGCTTTCTCGCGATCAATCGGGATGAGACACGGTTATGTCCTTTTTTCCAGGATTACGATGACGAGATTGAAAACGGACGGGGTCGCAGACACAGTTCGCCAGGCGGCTCACGAGGTAACCCCAGGGATTACGGCCATCATCTGCACCCAGACAATTTGGTGAGTCGACCAACACAAATTTGATCATCGGACATGGCACTTTGAGACCACCCTCTATATATTCTCTTCAATGCCATTGAAAAACTCTGATCGCATTTGAAAGTGAAAGAATCCGCTGACGTGCAGCGCAATTCCTTTGATGTAGGTAGATTTAAATAAAATGATTTTTACTACAAAGTGAAACGCGATAATATACCGATACGTGAGTTCGACGAAGAAGATATTACTTCAAGATTGAGAGATTTTGTTGAGTACACACACACGCGGATTCTAACTTTTTAATTTATATTATATATTAAAATTGCATTTTTAAATTTAAAAATTTATCAAAATATTTCAGTTTTTGATAATATGTTATTGTTGTTCTCACGTAACAAAATAAAATTGTTTTACGCATTCTTCAAATGTAAACTTTTGTATGTTTGTTATTTAATATTTAGATTGAGAATTTGACAAGATATTTGAGTATTACTATTGTTTTACAAGGCGATCGGATTTTTAATGAAATTTTTGATTTGAAGATAGATTTACTGTAATAGCTTTATCGTAGAATAGGACAAGGAAGACGAATTAGATACCTTTTAAAGCGCATCATATCATTCTAGGATAGGCGATCCTCTTATAGAATTAGATAAGCGATCGTGTGACAGTCTCTCGGGGAAAAGTTTTAGTAATTCAAATTTTGCCTCACGGTAATTTGCGTCCGACATAATTAATGCACGTTGCAAGTTGATCCCCGTTACAGGAATAATTACACAAACGTAGATTGGTGTTTACAGAACAGGTAGAGTCAAGTATCGCGTGTTGCAGGCAACAGGTAAATCTTAAACGCCCCTTACTTTATGCAAATCCCACTAAAATGTTACATCGTGCGGCGTTGTTACATCGTGCATTAAAAAATGTCGACTCAAAAAATCTGACTGGATTTTAAACACATAATATTCCATTTAATTATACACACATTTTTTTTACAAGAACATTCAGTTGATATGTATAAGATATTATTGTGTAGAAAAGTTGATCTATTAATAATTTATATCATTTCTCATTTATTACTTATTATTTATGTTCTAATTTAGTACTAAATTAATTATTATTAAATATTATAATTTTAATAATTCTACACTGAGAAAAAAAGCTGTTGCTTCAATTAAAATGCTATCACGGGGTGCCAAAAACATAAGTTTATTCAATTGTATTATTATTAGACCCAATATCTGGATTATTAAACCAATAATTTAATTATTGATTATTATTAGACTCAATATCTGGATTATTAAACTAATAATTTAATTACTGATTTAATAATCCAGATATTAAGTTTAATAATAATACAATTGAATAAACTATTTATGTTCTTGGCACCCCGTGATAGCACTTTAATTGAAGCAACAGCTTTTTTTCTCAGTGTATTGATTTATATTCATATCAGATCTATATTGTATTATTTTTTCCTGACTTGATTTGTAATAGCTACCGTTTTATTTCTCTAATCCTTGCAAACGAGTAGTTAAACGGAAGTACGTGCGAAATCGTATTTTTGCCAGGCGCGGCCTCATTTAAATTCGCACATAACGCGCTCGTGCAACGTCGCGCGTTAATTTCAGCGTTTAATTTGTGCATGCCGGTTACTCGCGTACAGTTATTTGCGCGCAACATATATACTGCGTCACTCCATCAGAGCGAATTTTTAGAATAAAAAAAAGTGCATCTAACAAAATCCTTTCTATGAAAAAGATTCGAAAGTCGACTTTATAAATTTATAAATTAAAAATTTATCGCTAAAGGATATTGCGTGATATTCTCTACACATATATGACATTCATGTTTGCACAATTGCGCCTTTCGTTATCTAGCAACGTACAATCATCGAAAATCGAAACCGCAAACATGAGCGTAATAAAGCCTATCTTCTAAATCATTTTTGCGCTCCGCGCCAACACGTTCTATGACTCGCATAATCTCTTGTATGTAAACGTAATCGCGATATTAACCGGATAATGATACGTCATTGCCGCGAGTGCACATTTGCGGCAACGAGATCGGGTGACGTCGGATTATCGCAGTAATTCGCATCGCTCGTAAATACGCAACGCGTCCCCGAGAGGAATCTATCGATCTTTACAAATGCGTTGTTATTCGACAAGTTATAAAAATTAAATATTCATTGTAATCGCGACAGAGAAAAAGAACAATATAATAGTAATAAGTGATATCGATTGCGATAATAAATTTTCTCACGTATTTGTTTCCTCCCTGTCAATTTATTCTTATTTATAGATCGCTTTTTCAGTGTTTACACTTCTCGAGTCCTATTTTTGTTCAAACGATCTATTTAAGTGGAGATTTTATAAAGGTCAATATAATTCGTGTTTTGCGCTTGCTTTGCGTTAACTGATGCAGCATCGCGCTGCGAACTTTGCGCGATGAACCCCCCGAGAGACAGTCGCATGATCGCGCCCCGATATCGACGTAATGTTATTATAGGCGTAGGTACAAAGTGGTAGATTTACCAATCCATTTAATCGCGTATAGCCATATAATAGTCGTTATAGACCATTGTAGTAATCCATACAAAAGGTGGCAACAATTTAAGCTCGTCGCGCGAAAGTTTCGCGTTTTTTTTTTTTCACATCTTGTCTCGGCGATTTCAATTATACTTCATTCTACGACGGCAGGAATAAATAAATAAGCGCGGTTTTTAACGCGGAATAAATGCGTCAGATGAGATATCCGATATTCGTCCACGATATCAACGTTGTCCAGGAAATTCTACATAAAAGATAGAACTGAGAGAAGAAACGAAAATAAAGCCATATTATCTTTCGGAAATTCTATGAAATGAAAAAAGTTCCGGAAGTTTAGCTCTTAAACGTTACCCTTTAAAAGTGATCGTTAGATATTATCGCTTTGTCTTTTCTCTTAGTATTTTCGAGTAACTCTTTGAAGTCTTAAGAAGGTCGTTATACTTAAATACTCCTCGAGGAATGCAAAGAATGTCACGAAAAGCTCGGCGCGTCTTACGAAGACCGAGATTCATTGGATCTCAGCGCGTTGTTCTCAACGATGACATGCAACCGGGAGGAAAATGGAGAAGATCTCTACAGAATTATAGCGAATTCGCGACGGGACGGTACAATGAGATCGCTCAGGTAGAAGAACGCGATAGATGATGGGGGTATGCGAGCAGGTGCTGGTACGAAACGAACGGAAGAGCAGCTCGGGCAGCCACAGTGTTATCGACGTTACTGACGTGAGATAGTTTCGCTTGAAAAGTGCCTACGATCGTTTCGTTCTCCCTGAGAGAATAACGACTTCTACCGACTATTACGCCGACGTCCGACGGCGGATAAAAAAAAAAACGTCCGGATTGCCTTCTCGAGGGCAGGTGCGTAGAACGGGATGATGAGGAAACCGCGATTTTATGGGAGACATCATAACTATACATTTGCTCTGCTTGAAACAATCAGAAACACTCGAATAGAGCCGCGATAGGAAGGAAATAACAATTATCGGAATTCCCTTCTCGAGATGTTCGAAGAACTTCACGATCCAACAGCTCTTGTAGATTTAACGATGCTTAATATCAACATCAATTTTAAACAATGTATCATGGTAAGTTCAATCTCGTTAACTGATTTTACTTATTAAGCTTGGATTATTTTGAGAATCGGAATGACTTCGTACTTCTTACCATCATCCTCAGGAGAATATTATTAATATAAATTTTATTTTATCGAGTTATTCAATATCAATAATATATAAACAAGTTTTGTTCTTATTTTAGATCGGATGATAACTAAATACTTGTTTAGAAGATTGATTCGCGCAATCTACTTCCCTTTCATGTACACGAGAAAAAAAATACCCTCGGAAATTTATCTCCTCATTAGCCTCCGCGATTCTCGACTTTATACTTTATATACCGTCGTGCAGGCAGAAGGAGAAAAAAGTGCAAGCGCTCCACACGCGAGAGCAGAGGTGATGTGCAATTGAGATAATCGAGAGAATACGTTGCAGTATGGGATCGCGATCGCGTTCGAAAAGAATATCGGGAGCCAATGCCAAGGTCGACCCGATATAATTAAGATAATAGCGACGAGCTATAATGCCTTGTACGAGGTCGTTATCCAATTGCACGCGGAGACGTCATCCTCAGGATTCATATTTGCCGATATATGTCTATATTTATCCGAACGCGGTCCAATCATTACTGTGAGGACAATATATAATTTTAGTAAATTATATAATTGCCTTATTATAAGACCCCAACAATTAATGGCTTGTCCGAGAATTTTTTTAGTTTTGGAGTTTGCAATCAATTGCGATAAATCCATTAATCGACAAATATATAAAAATCTATTCATATTTATACACATGTACAATTTGTGTAAATAGCTTCAGTGTTGGACTGCGAAGTTTCATAAGAAGCAGCCGTCATATCGAGACAGCATTCGATGAAATGCGGCTTTCGAGGAGGAACTTAAAGATCTCTCGGGATAGAACGAGCAACTGTGAGCAAAAACGGCCTCAAAGGGTTAATCAACGTGCCGGTGGGAAATTATAAATCGTTATCGGGAACTCCGTCGAAAAATCGCATCACGGAGTTAATTACGATGTAGTTTAATATACAGGGTGTTCCTGACATAGTAAACTACAATTTATCCGTGAATTATTAAATCACAAGAATATAAAATTATTAAGTAGAATAAATCATGCCTAAGTAGAAACGATAAAAAAAAAGAGAAATTCCTTTTGCCAACGTCAGATGCTCTTCGGTAACAAAAATCTCCAAGTTTTTCAATTTCCAATTTATCAGAGTATAACGAACGAAAACGAAATTAAACTACGAGTTAATCCTCTTATGTAATATAATTTGTTTATAATTTTTAAAATAATTCCTATAATTTATCGGAAATTCTGTTGTTCGGTGAAAAAAAATATCAATTTTGAATTCGAGAATTTATAGAGATCGGATAGATAGGACATAGGACACCCCG